CTAGAATGAGCAAGCATTTCACATACAATTATTTTTTTTTATACCTATGTGTTAAAATTTTGTAAAATTCTGCTTCTATTTTATACATATTTTAATATGTATTTTTTCGTTGCCTCTTGACTTGTCCAACACATCTATCATTAATGACATTAAGCAATTACTAGAAAAGGGGGACAGCTACAGACCAATAAGTCTGCTGCCGGGATTCTCAAAAATCTTTGAATTTGCTATGTGCAAAAGATTAACAACAAACTTACTGAATGAGTGGGACCTACTTTTGAATCACTTTGAAAAAAGGGAAGCAGCGGTTTTAATGTTCTTAGACCGGGCCTATGATTGCCTAGACGGAGACATACTATTAACAAAATTAGCGAGATATGGCGTAAGGGATAAAACGGATAAAGTAATATCTAAGCCAACATCCTCGAATCGTTAAAGTCTACAAAAATCGACAGAGTGAAAACCCAAAAGTTTGCTATAATAACCATGGCGTAGCTCAGGGAAGTATATTAGGGCCCATTATGTTTTTTATATTCATCAATCAATACACGGTTATAGAAAGGTCCAGACAAATAATAAATTATGCAGATGACACGAATATCCAAATTGGCTACATGTGTCTGTATAAACTCCTAAATGAATATAATAATTTTATTAATTAGCAATTAAAAGGGAAATTAAAAAACTCTTAATTGAATTTGAGCCACATAGCTTAGACAACTATCAAAATTCGTAAATAATCCTTATTTAGAATATAATGTAGTATTACGATTGTTCTAGCAATAAATTGAACTGAGATGGCTTTTACTTGACGGTATATATAGTATCAGGTAGTTTGTAAAAATTACATTTGAGAAAGACACGGTGTGTTGTCGAAACATTTTTCATGTGAAAATATATTGGGTTGTTCGGAAAGTCATTTCGTTTTTTTTGGGGAACATGAAAGACAGTTTTCGTATAATGAATAAATATTTTATTAAATTATATATTGGCCATTCTGGTCCAACACCTTTTGCCATCTTTCTGGCAGTAACATAATTCCCCTCTCATAAAAGTTTTGGTCCTTGCTGGCAAAAAACTGGTTCAGGTGGTTTTTGACGTCTTCATTTGAGGTAAAGGTTTTGCCATCCAAAAAATTTTGCAGAGACCGGAACAACTAGTAGTCGGAAGGCGCCAGATCTGGAGAATATGGTGGATGTTGCAGTACGTCCCATTCAAGCTGTAAAAGTTTTTGGCGAGTGACCAAACTTGTGTGAGGTCTCGCATTATCCTGGTGGAACACTACACCCTTCCTGTTGATTAATTCGGGCCTCTTCTCTTTAAGTGAATCATTCAATTTGTCCAGTTGATGACAATAGACTTCTGAATTAATCGTTGTATTGTCCGGCAAAAGCTCAAAAAAAACGATTCCTTTGAGATCCCACCAAACGGAGAGCACCACCTTTTTTTGGTGAATGTTGGCTTTTGACACGCTTTGAGCCGGTTCATCTTTTCTGCTCCATGACCTCTTGCGTTTAACATTGTTTTTCGTCTCCAGTAATAATCCGCTTCAAAAATGGATCATTTTCTTGACGTTTGAGGAGCGAATCACACACGTCAACGCGACGACACAAATTTCGCTCCGTAAGGACATGGGGCACCCACATATCGAGCTTCGAGGTTAAGCTCATGCCTTTCAAATGGCCATAAACAGTCGAATTCGACAAATTTAATCTCTCACCGATCTCTTGTGTGGTTATTCGCCGATTTGCATCAACTAATGCCTTTATCGCATCTTTGTCAGCTTCGACCGGCCTTCCAGAGCGTGGTGCATCTTCGACATCAAAATTGCCGGATCGAAATTTTGCAAACCAGTTCTGGCACTGGCGTACTGTTAACACGCCTTCTCCATACACATCCGTCAATTTTTTTCTCGCTTGGACAGCATTTTTACCTTTTCTGAAGTAAAAAAGTAAAATATGACGAAAATGCTACTTATTGCTCTCCATATTTAAAAGGGCACCAACCAAAAACTACTGCGTAGAATTAATAGAACTTTTTCACAGACAAGCCTTGCAATATCAGCTCTCAAGACATATAATGGTTATGCGGCTTAAGTGTGAAGTTGGTTTCGAAAAAACGTAATTAAGTCCTCTGACGGAAAAAAATGAAATGACTTTCCGAACAACCTTATATAATTTCGTGAAAATCTGAACTTTTTATTTCTTATTTATTTTGTTAAATGGATTTTCATCAAGTAAAAGCCACCTCAGTTCAATTTTTGAAAGAAGCTGTAATTGATTTCTTGGCTATTTGGTATTTCAAATTGTTTCTACGTCGCCGAATATGTTCCCAAAACATTTGGTTTTTTAACAAAGTTCTACAAAATAAAGGTGGTTCCCAAGTTTATGAAATTAAAAACCAACAACAGAGGTCCCGCTGCAAGGAAAGCCCTGATCCAAGGCCAGACGAAATGGATGAAGGAAGAACCAAGACACGAGCACAGAAAATGGGATACAAACTACATTTATGTAAATTCTTTTCATCTATCATTCATAAAAAGTTTCTTAGACAACCAATTTTACAACTGGTTCATAAACTTAACAGACACAACATTTTCTGAAAATGAAGTTGAATTTCTGGAAAATGGTTTCAACTTTAACTTACATCACTCGAACATTAATAGACAATTAGACTGTTCAGGGATCGACTGTGAATTAGCAATTAAGGACATTAACGATTCTAAATTAAACAAACGTGTATTAGCGAATATAATAAATTCTCAATTAACAGATAACAACAAACACCAAGAAATTTCTCAAATGTAGCTAGGAAAAACTATCAAAAACAAAGCTTCTGAAAATAATATAATATTTACACGTGCAGATAAAGGGAAGCAGTCATAGCTATCGATCTCCCAGAATATATTTCAAAAACAAACAATTTTCTTAAATCAGAACTTTTCCAATTTATCAAACACGATCGTACTGAGTTATATCAAAGAAAAGTTAAGGAAGTAATTACTAACTCTACACTATTTATTGACAAAGACAAATATTTTTTACCAATTATGAATCCACAACCGCCGAAATTATATTCTTTAGTTAAATTAGATTTTAAACCAAAATTTGTAATAAAAAATTCTTTTGAATTAATCAACAAAATTAAAGATATGAAAATCCCTTCTAACTCAACAGTCTTTTGATGTACAAAACTTATATCCCAGTATTCAACCTATGGTTTGATTATGGGAAACCCACTTAGTCCTTTTTTAGCCAAGGTTTTTAAAGATTTTTAAAGGATGTTCTAATATGATATTTTCCAAAATATCATATTAGAAGATCCTTTAAGTAAAAGTTGTCTATGGTGGTATAGACACGTAGATGATGTCTTTGCTTGCTTTGTTGGAACGGACAGACAATTGAATTCTTTTTTAAATTACATTAACTCATTACAAAATCGTATAAAATTCACTATCGTGATTGAACAGGATAACTCTATAAATTTTTTAGACTTAACTATTACGAAAACGCAAAACAAATTAGATTTCTCCATTTACCATAAACCTTCCCACACGGACACAATCATACATAACAGCTCAAATCACCCTTATATACACAAAATGCCTGCATTTCACTCTTGTATACACAGACTTCTTAATACGCCACTCTCAACAGAAAATTACAACAAAGAACTTAATATCATTAAACAAATTGCACTGAACAACGGCCACAATCCGTCCATTATCGATAAAATTATAAAGAAAAAACAAGTCCAGACAACAGTAAATTCTATTTATCCGAAACCTAATACAGAACACAAACAATTTATAACAATTACATACGTATGAGAACCCAGTAAAAAGTTTCAAAACATTTGTCAAAATTTGGTTTAAAAATAGTTTTCAGAACTAATAACACAACAGGAAAATGTTTAAAAAACAATAAAACCAAATGTCCAAAATCTCAAAAATCAGGTGTCTGCAGGTTGAAATGCGGATCATGTCCTAAAATGTATATTGGACAAACAGGTAGATCCTTCAAGAAACGCATTAACGAACACAAAAGAGGGTTTAAAAACAATAGTTTAGATTCTAATTATGCTATACACTTAAACACAGAAAAACACATTTTTAACGACAATTTTGACATTTTACATACAGCCACAAAAAGCAGAAAATTAAATTTATTGCTTAACGAACAATTAGATTTAAATACATCTCCATTATTAAACTTAAATTTTCATAAAAATAATTGAGGTTTTAATGTCATTTTTCCGTATATATATATAGTAGCAGGCAGTTTGTAAATATTACCTTTGATAAAGACACGGTGTTGTCGAAACAATTGTCATGTCAAAATATATAATTTCGTGAAAATCTGAACTTTTAGTTCTTATTTATTTTGTGTGGCGATAAATACTTCTAGTCGTAGCTGACCTACTGCGAGTCTTTGACGTCGTTTTATTTATCGTTAACATGAGTAACAATTTTTGGAATCAATAACTATCTACCTATCATCTATCTAAGCATAGCATCGGGCGAGTCAGAAATGTCTTCAAGAAATTTCGATTACCAGTCGTAGGAGACATACCTGTTTGCAGATTTTAAGAACGTGGTTTGGAAAAATATCGGCAGCAGTAGCACCATCGAAAGTTAAAATTGCAGAAGCACCGAAGAAGAAAATAAATCGATGCTTGTTCATAACCAAACGTGTGCACGACAAAATTTATGATACAGATAAAGATCTTCTTAAGAAAGTTAAATCGGTTCGAAAGCGTTAATAATATCTAGACCCTTCGGCCAAGTCTAATTAATTATAGTGAAAGCAAAACGGGAATAATGCCCGTATTTTATGCACACATTGTCCGACATGAAAGAAGATCTCGCGAGGGGGCAAACCTGGTGGCAGCGCAACCGAAGCATATGTATTATTTTTAGGTTCACGATCTCTACGGTACTTTCTCTCCTTCGTACGCTTATTGGCCGACGTCCCACAAATTTTAGTCGGGTTTTAGTTGCCGATCTCTCGACTAATCGTAGATATTTTTAGTAGTCGATTTTGCGGATGTTGGGCAAGACGCGCGTTACTGCTACGTTGCGGTCCATCATGACGGTTTGAGCTTTATATCACTAATTACAAAGCGCCATGGAAACTGTGTCAGTAATTAAGGCACGATGTGAAGGCGGACAACAATAAACAAAGGTAAATTATTAAAACGTATTTTTAACCTTGGGACCGTTAATTGGAATACTTTTTAGTCGGGTTTTTTAATGTTGGAACTGGGTGATTCGTAGTTTAGTAATTTTCAGAAATTTGCGTTTTCAAATAATAAAGACTGATACAACAACTGAAGGACTAAGTACGTAATATGTTTGAATGACAGTAAACCTGATTTAAAAATATACAAAAAAAAATCTAAGGCCAATTCCAATAACGTATATATTTTGGAAACAACAAAATTGAAATTACCTAATTCTTACGTTTATTCGAGGAAATGTTCTAAACTAATCCGTAAGCAAGCAATTTAAGCGCCATTCATTACAGCGTCAGTGGAGTGTAGCTTGAATAATTGATCTAATTTTAGAGTTTGAATCGATTTGGTCATTGCCAATATTATGCGCCAAACAAACTAACATTCTCGTTTCCATTAAAAATAAACGGGAGTTTGTGAATGGCAAAACCTATATAGGTATGTCATGAACGTGCCTAGGTTGTCACAAAAAATGTAAACGAAAATATAAATAAATAAAAGGTATGTATATAAAAAGTACTGAAATTAAAGTCTGTTCATAAATATAAGAAAGTGACTAACTGATACGAATTAAGGAAAGACCCGGGCAAGCCGTAAGAATGAAATATGGCCAAACACATCCGTACTTTGCATAGAATTTAATTATTTGGGGTTTTGTTAGGAAAGATACTAAACAATATTTATTTATTTAAGTATGTATTTATGTTTAAATCTAAAATAAAATTACAAATTATTTTTATTACCTACTTAAATTACTTAAAATTATTCACATATCAGCATCACTATCACTATCATCGCCTGTTCGAAATATTATTTGTTCTATATTATCTGCAATATGGATATACGATCGTTCTGCTTTTTCTATATGTTTAACAGAATTTGCCCAACTTTGTGGAGGGATGTTAAAAACTTCGGTTTCTATAAGTTTGAGGACATTGGAGTTAACACGGGGAAAAACATTGTTACGACGAATGCCAGTTGGTGCCAAACATGTTCCATGGGATTAAATATACAGTGGTAAGGTGGAAACCCTAAAACTGAATGCCCTAGATTTTTTGCATAATTATCACAGACGTATTCCTTTTGTAGGTTCAAGCTTTGTAGAACCTCAATTAATTGATTTTTGGTGAAAATAAATGTCGTTATTATACATGATTGTTGCTTTTGTGCCACATGAGGAAGCGGTTTTAACCAACTGTCTACTGTGATAACTTGCCTTGTCCATTACAATGACGCTATAAAGGAGGAATGTTTGGAACTAGTTTGTTTTTAAATCAATTTTCAAATAAATCAGCGATGGTGTCTTCATGGTAATCCAGAGAAGAATCTTTAATATTTTTTGCAGACAGAGAAAGTCCATTTGGAATTCAAACATCTTTGAAGCCAGCATGCAAAATAGTTTTTCTTTTACCTCTTTTTGATGGCGCGTTTGTTTCACACTTATCAGTTGAGTCAACCCAACCCTTTTCCGGGGTATCATAAATGTCGAACCAGCTTTCATCCAAGTATATAATTGGCCTTTGTTGTTCACTGTTAATCCTAATTTTTTCTAGATATTCCATTGTATGTTAATTACCACCCCTGGATAATCCCATTCAAAAGCAATTGGTCACTTTCTTATATCCATGAACAGCCCATATAACAAATACATATCGTTAAAGAAAGATTTTTGGTTATTCTTGAATTCCTGGCTTAGTAAATGATTTTCAAAAATTATTTTTTTCTCCGTAGGGATATAGGTTTCATAATATTGGTTTTTGCAGCAAATTTACTAGAAATTTGTAATGGCAATGGATAATTTTTGTGAATTTGATTAAATAAATATATATAAATCGTAAATCACACTCTGCATTTCCATTTTCACATTTTGCCTCGAATCTTCAGTTTATATTTTGTAGTCTTCTTCGGTATTACATTGTGACAGCCCTTAAACTGATCCCCAGAACTTTCGATACTACTGAATATTCGTGGAAAGAGAATAAAGAAATTCTCTTTCATTTTTAAAATAAGTTATTAAATTTAAAACTATCGATTTTTCATGTCAAGTGTAGGTCTACCTTATTTATATAACGAATTTTATTTTGAGGGCACAGTTAAACAAACAGACGGGTTAATTAAACAGGGTGGACAACTTAAAGGCTATATAGATAAGTTTACATAAATTGCAACGATAGATTTCCTTATTTCAGTTTTTAAGGTCTGCACACCCCCAAATGTTGCTAAATTAGAGTCACACTAATTTCCATGCAATTTTTTAATTATATAAAGTTATAATTAATTAATTTAATTATAAGACCGCAAGTTATAATTTGGTATTAGTGTTAGGTTATGTTGTGAAGGAAGGAAGAATATCACCTTTTTGGGATGACGCGAAGAAGCAATTACGATGTAAACTTTATGGTACACTTTTATTTTATAAACCCCTTTTAAAGAGCTGTTTTCGTTTTTTGACCCCGAGAGTACCGACTACAGAAGTAAAAATATTATGAAATTAGATACCATTTTAATCATTATGCTTAGAGCAGCGAGCCCAGGGAAATAATAAATTGCTCTCCAATTTTTTATAGCTAACGAAGAAAAAACACACACAAATTTAATTTTGATATGAACAGGTAAGTGGCTAGCACCAGTAAAGTTCATAAATTGTCACGATTACATTTCTGGCAGTAAAAAAACTTAATATGACGCATCTAAATGAAACGTAGAAAATTCCAGTTTTTATTTTCGTTGGATATGGAGGCAAACGGAGGTTTACGGAGAAGTTTGTAATTTGTTTAAAGCAAAAACAGGGCGTGTTAAACTCGTCTACTCTGAGGTCGTCAAAAAACCAACAATCCAACCAGTCAATCTTCTGAAGTAGCTTTAAATAATACCCCATTTTGCTCCACAAGTGCGTGAATGTTAAAACTATTTCCAGATACTAATCTACAAGATTTTTCGTCCGGGGCTATTTAAAATAAAAAATGTATAAGGAAAGAAACAAAATTTAGATTATATGAAATTGGGATAAAATTAGATACGAACTAGGGCAAATATAGCCTGAGTAATGTCACGAAAGGTTTTAAACCGATCAAGAAGCTAATGATGGGCATTTTCGATATCTAATAAAATAATTTCTTTGACATTGTGAATTTTATAAATTACGAACTTCTTCTTATCGTTTTGTCTTCATATCCCATAAAAATGAAAATTTCAATACTCTGGGTTTTATTTAGGTAGCGATATTCACTTGCTTTAGTGACAGAAATGTAATTGTGACTATTTGAGATCTTTATTAGCACTGTTGTGTTTGTCTTTTTATTATTATTATTATTATTATTATTATTATTAATTTATTTATTTTATAGGCGCTACACCAGTTATGTGCGAAAAATGACGCTGAATTCGAAAATGGATATAAAAAACTCATGTTCCATTCCTTACTCGAATCAAAATAGTTGATCTCCCAAAGGAATTATGTAATCCCGAAATACTTGATAAATATTTTGCATCGTGGTTGATAGTATTTCAATTGATAAAATAAACTATTATAACTCCAATGTGCATCCAAATATTATACATAATCCTCAATTTTAATTTAATTAGCAAAAAAGACGGAATATCTATAAAAGCTGTCAAGCTTTGTCCTCCATACTGTATAAATCCTTCAATTAATACTGTTAACAACTGTTTCTTGGATAATTATTTTCCCACTGTTTGGAATAAGGCCATTATAAAACCAGTTGCTAAAATATCAAATTCCTCACATCTACCAACAAATGTCTACCTTTGTAAATTTGGTCAAGTACAACGACCAGTCTAGTTAAGTTATTGAATGACGTTCGCCACAATGAAGATAGAGGGAAGCTACCTGTTCGGCTCTTTTGGATTTTAGTAAAGCTTTCGACAGGATTAATCATAATATATTGTTGGAAAAACTTAATTATCTCCGTTTCTTAACTGGATTTGTAAAGTTAAATTTAATCTAGAAAAATCTAACTATACCCCAATCACAATTGGATGGCAAAAGGTTCAATTTTGGGACCCTTATTGTTTAGTATTTATTTAGCAGAAGGAGTGTGTCAAATATTCAAGGAGGCACCTTTTTTTTAAGTTTTATAGTTAGTTATGTATTTTTTATATATTTTTGTTATCGTTTATTTCTTATACAGGCTGATGTGTTGTACCATAAATGCAGGGTGATGCTTGAAGCTTATCCGACTAGTTTTTTTTGTAATCGCGGTGCAATCTTCTTTGTCATTGCTATTGTTAAATGTTAATCACACTATATAGCTCGACAAATAAATAAATAAATACGTACATAAATAAAAGGAATTTGGTATATTTTCTTCCAGTATACTTTCTATTTGCTGCAATTGTGCTAAATATTTTAGCCGTTCAAAGTATATCTTCGATCGCTTCGACATCCTTTGGTCTTTAGACGTTGAGTATAATGTCTCTGAGCTCTATAAATACGCCAACCTTTTTTTTTAGATTGAAAATTTGTCAAGGTTATCTATCCCGCGTTCTAATTTAGTTAAACGGAAACTGAGTAATTTCTCTGGTGCCAAAAACGCTCACTACCGCAGACTACTGTCTTCATAGTAAACTTTAGCACTGCCATCGGGATCGAATCGAATTTTATTAAACTATACGCGTTCATTTAAATAATTATCAGATAGTAGTTTATCGTAGCAGAGTAAACACCAAATGTCTCATCGCCCTGTTTGTTGCAGGATATTAGTCATACCCCGGCCGCATTGCAAACAACAACGGATTGAAATCAAGAAGACTGACTCTACGAAACCTGTGATCATTTCGTGTGATTTTTTTACTACTAACACTTCCACAATAACGACGCAAACCGTACGAGATGGATTTCCTCTCGGAATTCGACGAGGTGATGGCGAAAGACAACATGTACGACATAAAATTCGGCAACAAGATCCAGAGGGTGGGCAAGATCTTTTCCTACACGTTTTGGAGGACGAAGATCGACGGCGAGATATTCTGGAGCGTCCAAGGCAACAATAACGACGGTTCGGCGTGGATCGTGACCCAATATTTTGGCCCGCCGGAGGAAGCTAAACGCTATCAGCAGGAGATCATTTTGCACCATCCCAGCGAGAAGAAAATCAAGATGGTGTATACGTCGCCGTGCACCAAGGGAATGAACTCGATCAAGATCTCCAGGGCTATCGTCTACCATTTCCGGGACGACAACAACAGCCTCAATTTCGAATACAGGATAACCCGTTTGAAGAGGAGACCCTATCCTCAGAGAATCATGTGGTAGACACATTTGTTGCATTTGTAATCTTTATTTATGTTATTTGGTAACATAACTTTTAAGATTACGTAAGCGTTTGAAGTATATGCGGTCATAATCTAGTAGATAGCGGCATTTTAATGGAAGGCGTCTTAATTACGCATCGTGCGTGTGCTTTACGATTAGTTATAATACGGATACGGATTCATATGGACGGCGAGTTGTAAAAATTGTTAATCGCGTTAATTCTTTTGACCCAGACGATTTTCTATTAATTTGAGTTTGTTGTGTACGAAAAATTTAACTTTTACTTAACGGTTTAATTGTTACGACACAAAAACAGCGGTTCGTTGCAAAGTAACGTAAGACAAAAACGGCGGCCACGTGAAAGCGACAGACACGCCACGAGACGTAAAAAGAAATAATTAAGAAGTTAGAATTACGGCTGATTTTCATGGTGCTTGAATCCTAAGCCGCCATTTCGTTAAGTGGAATATTAGAACCGCGTGGAGATGAGTTGAAAGTTCGTTTACGCACTAGACAAAAGTAACGTTTATTTATTTATTGCATGAGCAAAATTTTGTTTTAGTAGTCGATATTTCTACACGTAGTTTCGTTTTAAAAACTCCCAAAAAAATATGCAAATATTAAAAATGTTCCCAAAAATAAAGGTACTACTTAAGCATTGTGGATTTTATTTGATTTCTACCTAACTACCGTTTTATCACTGAAATGAAAGTGATAATTAGGTGATGATTTATATGTGAAACTAACCAGAACCATGATTAACTCGGCTCAAATATGTGAAAGCATTCATTGTAACTATTATTGCTTACTTAACATTTATTACGAAATATTACTAATGAATTAGCTTTAATTGCTTTCATATATGAAGTTTTTTTTTCGGCGTAACAAACGCAAAAGTTTGTTCGGTTTGATCAACAGGAACTTATTTTTTCAAAGAAACTTCCACAGGCCACTGTAATGCTTTTTACAAAACTTCTGGATTCCTCCTGCGTCGGTTATTGCTGAGTCGAAATTGCTCTGAAGAAGTCAACATGATGATTGGCGAAACATCAGCAATTTCGACTCAGCAATAACCGACGCAGGGGGAATCCAGATGTTTTGTAATAAGTATAAACAGGAAGTTATATTTTGTTATTATTAATTGCAATTTTTCTCTTACAGTTAAAAATAATATTAAAAAAACAATTTCCTAAATTCATTCCTAAATATTAAACCTATATTAAAATATAAAAAACCTTAATAATATTAACAATAAATAATTTCTTTTTAATGTAAAAAATAAATATAACAATTAATTATCATTTAAAATTAATTCATTGATTTTCTTAAGTAATTCAATTAAAATACTGTTCTTGCAAATCATTCATGAAAATTTCTTCTTTGTTTCAGTTAAGCTACCTTTGTGGGGCCAAAGATTGCATGAAATGTCACAAAAAATGTCACTCACATAATTTTTACTAAGAAGTATTTGTGATTTAGCATTTAACATAACAGCATGCTCCGTCTAAAAGATTGTTCCTTGTTTGTTCAATATATTTTATTATTACGTTAGATCGTAAGAGAAAGACAACAAATACCGTGCTCCTTATTATTAATATGAAGCCGAAATATATAACTCAATGGAAATTATTTAATACGTGAGTTTTTCCTTCACTTAATTCTTCAGTATACAGGTTTCCTTTTTAATAAGTCCTCTACTGATTAAAGGTTCATATAGCTATTTCATAACTCATAAAACCGTTTTTTTTAAAGCATAGTAAACAGGGATATTAAATATTGCTACTGATATATCAGTTGAAATATTAACATACCTAACTTATTTTAAGTATCCTGTGCATTAACAACTAATGATGATGATGATGATGAGACTAGGACTGACTTACTTAAAAAACTTAAAAAGTTTTATTACTTTATTATATTTCGCATATCCAGTGGCTTTGTTACTTACCCTTGGCTCTACTTTCTTATTATTATTCTTATTGTTTCTAATTCTATAATAAAATTGGTCGGATGCGTATATTAAATATATAAATAAAAGCTAAATTCTGTTCATAGCTATAAGAAAGTGACTAACTGATACGAATTAAGGAAAGGCCCGGGCAAGCTGTAAGTATGAAATATGGCCCAACAGGTCCGTACTTTGCTTAGAATTTAATTATTTGGGGTTTTGTTAGGAAAGATACTAAACAATATTTATTTATTTATGTTTAAGTCTAAAATAAAATTACAAATGATTTTTATTAACTACTTAAATTACTTGAAATTATTCACATAATATATCAGTATCATTATTGCTATCATCGCCTGTTCTAATCATTATTTGTTCTATATTATTTGCAATATGGATATACGATTCTTCTGCTTTTTCTATATGTTTAACAGAATTTGCCCAACTTTGTGGAGGGATGTTAAAAACTTCGGTTTCTTGAGGTTGAGGACATTGCAGTTAACACAGGGAAAAACATTGTTACGACGAATGGCAGATTTCAGTTGGTGCCAAACATGTTCTATGGGATTGAATATACAGTGGTAAGGTGGAAGCCTTAAAACTGTATGCCCTAGATTTTTGCATAATTGTCACAGACGTATTCCTTTTGTAGGTTCAAGCTTTGTAGAACCTGAATTAATTGCTTTTTGGTATAATATTCGTGAAAATAAATGTCATTATTATACATGTAGTTTTGGATTTTTGCTTTTGTGTCACATGAGGAAGGGGTTTTAGTCAACTGTCTACTGTGATAACTTGCATTGTTCCTTACAATAACGCTATTAGGAGGAATGTTTCAAAACTTTCAAATAAATCAGCGGTGGTATCTTCATGGTAATCCAGAGAAGAATCTTTAATATTTTTCGCAGACAGAGAAAGTGGCGCACCAGGTTTCATCCAAGTAAATAATTGGCCTTTGTTGTTCTCTGTAAATGCTATTTTTTTCTAGATATTCCAGTCGCCATTTCCGAATTCTAAAAGATTCCATTAAAACTTGCCTTTTGTCAATTTTTTTAAATCTAAAACCCATGTGTTGAATACACTTCCATAAGGTAGTTCTGCCACATTTAATACCGGTTTCATCTTTTTCAAGCCTCCTAATTAAGATATCTAATGTAGGCACGCTTTGTTTCTCGTATAACTGGTAAATTTTACGCCGTATTATATCTTGATCAGTTTCATCTACACTTGAGAAAATGTCAGCATCGCTTTTTTTTCCTCGCTGAAATCGGATTATTCACAATTTTCCATAGAGTTGATGTTGGAATTTTCGTCAATGTGGCCGTTTCTTCTAAAGATGCTTGCTTGCTCACGTTCAATGAGAGTCAAATAAACATTGTTTATAACTTCCTTAATCTCAACAGAATAGTGTTTTCTACATTTGGGCGAGAGCATCTCCTGAGATAAACTAGACTCGCACATATTTTGCATAATTCGCACACGAATCAACACACGCTGTATTACATACGAAATAAGAATGATTACTAATAAACTTAAACTAAGTAGTATGCCAAACCAAAGAATATTAAATACAGGTAGGTATAAAATTATGTTCTATTACGGACCACAATTTTACCTGAATTTTAATTCCGAAACTTTAGGTAATAATCTTGTTGTATTATATGTTAATGACAACCCTTGGATAATCCCATTCAAAAGCAATTGGTCGCTTTCTTATGTGAACAGACTATACCTAATGGTCAACGCTCAAGAAATTCCGTCCAGACACTGAAATATGAACAAATTATTCATTGACGCCAGCAGCATGTTTTATCTATTGGTATAGCAACTTTTTAATTATATTGATAGCTTGTCCCAACCTTAGATACACTAGTGCGAAATGTGTGGAATGCTTGGGTTCAGTATGTTAGAAGTATGGGGTTCTATTGAATATTATTGAAACTATGTTTGTAAAAAGTTATTGGAATAAAAACTAGATATATCCTAGACTAGATTGCCTTCCTATAAATTTTATGATACTTCGCGAATACTGTTACTGCTACCGCTATTACAACGTTTTTTTTTGTCGACACTTTGTGTTGTACGAGTTGTGTTCAATGAGTCAGGTAACTTTAAAGTTTTATCAAAAAGTATTTATTTATTTAGCAAAATTGATGTTGTCCGCTTCAATAATAGATACAGATATAAAACACTTGTGCCAACGTTTTTTCCAATCTTCGAAGCACTTCTGGTATAGCTTCAAGTTTTTTCAGAGATTTATTCTTTATCTCCTCAATAGTTCCAACCCCCTTCATTTCATGGGTTTTTGTTTTGGAACAAAAAAAAGTTGCAGGCCAAATCTGGAGAGTATGATGACTAAGGCATGGTTGCGATTTTGTTTTTGGCCAAAATGACGCAAGCAACGATGAGTGAGCAAGTGCATTATGCCAAATCCATGAATTGTTTGCACACAATTCCGGACGTTTTCTTTATATCGCTTCTCGCAAACGGCGCATAACTTCAAGGTAAAACTCTTTATTTACCGTACGACCGTGTGGTAACAACTCTTGATGTACTAAGCCACGATAATCAAAGAAAACAATTAGCAAAACCTTGACATTTGATCGAACTTGGTCCTGGCGATTCTGGGTTCTTTCATTAGGACTACTGCGCTATGGTTTCGACGTATTAACCATGTATCGTCACCAGTTATGACCTTTCTGTTGCTGTTACACGTTTCATGCCAAAACTTCTGAAGAAATTGCATGACACGAACCAACAGAGATGCCGACGTCTTCAGCCACTTCTCTAATAGAGATTCGACGATTTTTCAACACCATTTGTTTCACTTGTTTCGACGCTTTCATCACCTATTGACGTACTGAGGCGTCCAAAGCGATGTTCGTCATCGGCGCCTTTTCGGCCATCTTGGAACACCCTGTACCGCTTATAAACATTTTTTTGCTCAAAATAGATTCGCCATATGCCGCTGTCAACATTTCAAGTGTTTTGTAGTACTGGACTCTATTTTTTACACAAAATTTTATGCAAGTTCTTTACTCCATTTCGACAGCAGAAAATCGCACATAAAACACATCTAACGCTTCTATTTCATAAAGAAAAAGTAAACGTGTAAATTGGCTGATCAGATGAAATGTACCTAGCCAGTCCAATTGCAAAAGTCGCCTTACTTTTTGAACACCCCTCGTATATACGCGTCTAGGTTAGAATTTGCTTTAAATTAATCATACAATTAATTAATTCAGGTAATAAATAATAAATAAGGGGCATTTAAATTTTATGACCTATTTTTGCTATGCGCTTTTTTTGAAAGCCAATTTGTCAAATGACTTGGGTTAAGGGTATTTTGAAGCTTTATTTGAATTTGAGGGTTTATTCACTGGTATACTTCTCAAATAAGAGGTGATTTACGTTGCTATTGCCTAAACAGTTATCTAAACAGAGACAATTGTTTTGCGTGGTTTGTTGATTTAAGTCATCCTAACCTCAATTTTCTCGGAAATCAGTGACATATTGGCATCATAATTGGTGGTAAAAAAAACCTATTGCTCAATGAATAGAGTGAACTTACATTTACTGCTAAAAATTGCATTTATTCAACACCAATCGAGATATAGGGGGTCTATTCTTATTCAAACCCCACAAATGTCAGAATAAACGCGTTAAATTGCCTTTTAAGTCACATCATGCACTCGTTTTTATCGGGAGGG